CCACTGCGGATGTGTTTGCAGTTGCTACCGCTGCTGCAGTCCCTGCTCCTGCTGCTGCAGCTTCTCCTGCTGCTTCCTAGGCGCGGCGGGGGGCGACGCGCAGCCCAGCAGCTCCAGAGGGCTCGAGGGTTGTTTGCATGGAGGCAAAGGGGTGTATGTAGAGCTGAATATATGATTTGCTGCTGATGTTTTTTGCTGCTATTCGCTTCTACGGAACTACAGGCGCTCTGGGCCCCCGTTGCGGCTGCGTTATTGCGTTTTGTTCGTCAGCTTGTAGCGCATGCAGAGGAGAGAGTTGGGCTGGATAAGGAGAAGCTGCAATAAACAAACAGAAAATAGAAAGAAGAGGGGACTGAGAGAAGACAGAGGACAAAGAGTCTCTCAGACGGAGCCGGGCAGAGCAGCGACACCAGCGGCAGCGTCTTGCTGGGTGCAGCAGCGACGCAAGTAGAGAGATATCAGCAAAGAAATAAAAACAGAATTAAAGCGTGTTAAGTCCGCCAGTGTACACTGTGGGGTTCAGACGCACAGCAGCTACTGCTCGGCCCGAAGTAAGTAGTTACCTCGTTGTTGTGTGGCGGGGGTGCCTGCTGCTGCTGCTGCTGCCGCCGCTGCCGCTGCTGCTGCTGCTGCTGCTACCCCAGCGCGCCACAGTGTAGAGACTAGGAGAAAGCTCCTAATGGAGGCAAACGCCTCAAAAGAAAAGGAAAATGCAACAGCAAACCCCACACGAACCAGAGACAGACACCAGAGCCGCGCGGCAGCGGCCGATAGGCCGCTGCCGAGACAGCGCGACAGCAGCAGCAACAGCAGCAGCAGCAGGAACTGCAGCAGCAGGCAGCAGGAGGGCCCCTGGGGGCCCTACATCTGCTTACTTCTCATCTGTTAATGCCGTTCGCTAGCAGTTATAACAATTGGCGCGGACGGGAAAATATAGAAACAGAAAGAAGACGCATATGTAATAAGGCCAGACACACAGCAAGCACAGACACCCCTCAAGCCCGCTGCTTGTACGCCTCATATGCTGTCTCCTCTCTGCTACCTCCCTTACAGCTAATCGAAGCATTTGCTGCTGGGTAGATAGACAAATGAGAGGGCTCAAGCCGCAGAAACAACCGCTAAGGAAGCGACGGAGACACAGCAGCCCCGCAACCGTACATACGCCGCGGCTAGCGGCGGCCTCTGTCGCATTTGTGAGCAGAAATCAACNTGCGCGTGGCCGCCCTGACGCCTCGACATGGGGCCTATGGGGGGCTTCTGCGCGCAGTTGCTCGTCCACGTCACACCCCCGATATTGTAGGGGATACAGTCTACACATAACTGTCTCCTGCAGCACTGCTTCCTCGGGCGTCCTGGCTTAGCAGCGCTGCAGCAGCAGGGGGGCGTCGCTTCTGACGCTTTGCTTTGCTAGGCGTGCAGCGAAGACAGCCCACACCAGGCAACCCCAGGCGTATCCACTGACACTCCACACTACTTACGCTGCCCCAGGGGCATGCATATACATCCCATACGCCTTGAAACAGAAAGCCAGGGGTCATGTCCACGGCACTCTAACCATCACCGTTATCCTTCTGCGCGCAGCAAAGACATATTTATGACATTCTATCCGTAGGTGTCATCCTGTCCCTATTGCGGCTACTTCGGGTCCTTATCAGGGGAATCCAGGGGGCCCCTGGGGACCGCCAGGCGGGCCCCTTCGCCGGAGACGAGTTAGCTGGATACGTTGGCTAGGGTGACTTGGTGCTTTACTGGGGAGCATTGACTGCCCTGTTACTTTGTGCTTGACGTGGTGTATCGCAGCTCCTTTACTTGTGCATTAGATGAGCTGACTCGCTCGTTTGCTCAACTAGAGCTCGTTGGCTAGTTCCCTCCACTCTTAGGCTGTTGGTTTGTTTGTCTATATGTTTGGTTGTTTGTTTCCTTGTTTGCCTATTAGTTTGCTTGTTCGTCCGTCTGTTTTTAAGCTAGCTAGCTAGTTCGTTTCTTCGTGTGCGTGTTCGTGAGCTAGCTAGCTAGCTAACTAGTTAGCTAGCTAGTCAGCTACCTAGCTAGCTAGCTAGTTACCTGTCTAGCTAGTTAGGTCGCCAGTAGGTTAGTAAGATGGCATACAAGGCTTGTGAGGATTGCGTGAGTGCACCTTCTCTCCAATTTGTTGCGGTTTCCTGGGGAAACCAAACTCTTGAAGCCACCAACGGGCAGGAAGAGCTCAACCAACGCAGACGGGCGAAGCAGGTTTACCTTGGCCAGTCGGAGGAGACAGGTCAACGTAGGATGGGCTGTGCGAGGAGACAGGAGTATGTTGGGCTGTAGGAGGAGACATGTTTATGTTGTAAAATGTCCCTCGCTCTCCCCCTTGACACACCGCCGCAACCTTGCACCCGGGGGAGCTCCCGACCTCTGCCCC